ATGTCGTGCCTGGCTTCCATTCTTCGAAATATATATCATTGATTGATGAGGCATCACAGAGTATTTCAACTCCTCGGACTAAGACAGAGATCAAGAATCTACAGTTTCTCTTTTGTTCTGCGTTCCTGGATGCAGCATAAAATTCCCTAACGAGCATCTCGTTGTGCTCCCCCGGAACCTGAGTGAAGAACTCCCATCCCCTCTTTTTGATGTTTTCTAGCACATGGGGGTAGTGTTCTTTTAAACCATTCAAGCCTAGTTGCTTTTCTTCGAGGATCTTTTTTTTGCCAGGCCATCTCTGTATAGAGTCCAAGAGCCGGAGATCCCAAACTTGAGATCCTCACCACTCTTGAGATTGTTGTGATTGTGGGCTTATAGCAGTAGCCCGTCTCTTTCCTAGAGTGGTGGGTTGTCATGATGCTAGAGCTTTCTTTGGTGCCATTCCTGTCAATTAACAAGGAGTGGGTACATGATATGGCATGGGTAACATATGGGCAAGAAATGAAAAACAAAGAATGTTCTACGACCAGTTATGCAATCGCAGAACAACTCTGTGAGCTGCATACCATAACGCATATCACAACCCTAAAAAAAACAAATTATGCGGTCCGCAGAATTGGTCGCAGAACAAAAGTGCGACCATAGATCGGTCGCATAATCAACTGCACATTAGCTCTCAGCAACCCTCAATCATACAGAATGCGGCGACTCTGTGAACCGCAAACCAATTATGCGGACCGCAAAAATCATCATCTCTATTCAAAAACATACTCACAGGCAAATGCGCAAGCACCAAATATACACTCAGTACCAAATGCGCACTCACAAACTTAACATCATGACAATATCTTATGCAAATTTTCACCATTTTCCAACCCCTTTACTCTATTCATACCCCCTAATTCGAACCCCTCACAGTGTCTATTTTCCCCCAGCGTTGATTTCTACTCCAAGCATTCACATTTGATTACTCACAGCAAGGAGTTGGGGAGAGAAAGGAGGTTACATGGGTGAAAGCACACAGTAATGAACATACCAGATTGACTAAGCAAGAGAAGGGTTAGAAATGAACATACAAGATATCATAAGATCGAGAATTTCGATGTGAAGCGCGAGCAAGGTAGGCCTTTCCTTTTCAATTCCTTTTTGATTTTATTTTTCTCAGTGTTTTTGGTCTTTTCTTTCTTTTCTTTTGTGTTATGCTTCATGTCCGTGTGTGTGGGAATATAGATGAAAGGCGGAAATAAGAGAGAGACTTAGGGCTTAATACCTGAGAGTTTCGCAGTGAAAACGTGCATCGCATAACATATTATGCGGCCGCATATGTGTTATGCGATGGGTTAGTGACTGAGTGGTGTGCAACAGGTTTGCGACCAGTTCTGCGGTGGCAGAATCATGATGCGGACCATAAAAAGTGAATTCTCACCGCATTTATTTAGGCCCAGTTTACATGTTGTTCTTCTTGTGTCTGCGACCATTATGCGGTCCGCAAATCCTTTATGCGACCGCATATGTTGCCGCAGAACACAGCTGAAGCTCGGGTTGCTTTCCTTCATTTTCCTCTGCCCTTGCATCCTATGTCCTTGTATTTTGGGTCACCTGTATTCTAACACACACATCAAAATGTTCAACACTTACAAATAAACTTATCGAAATAAAAATCTAAACAAAAAAATGTTACCAACACATGGGTTGCCTCCAAAGAAGTGCTTGATTTAACCTCGCGGCACGATGATGTTGCCCCCATTTTGGCTAATCAGCAGTGGGGGTTGGTGTAGGACCATCCTTGAGTGTGAATTGTAATTATTCTACCAAGTGCCTTTCTCCAATGGTTCTGAGGTAATGCTTGACCCTTTGGCCATTTACTTTGAAGGTTCGAGTCCCTTCCTTGGATTCCAATTCAATAGCTCCATAGGAAGACACATTCACAACTTTGAATGGGCCAGACCATTTGGATTTGAGTTTGCCCGGAAATAATTTCAGTCTTGAGTTGAAGAGTAAGACTAAGTTACCGGATTTGAATTCCCGCTTCAAAATCTTCTTATCATGAACAAACTTCATTCTTTCCTTATACATGACTGCATTCTCATAGGCATGAAAATGGAATTCTTCCATCTCGTTGAGTTGTGTCATCCTTAGATTAGAAGCTTCGGCCCAGTCAAAATTTAACTTTTTCAAAGACCACATAGCTTTGTGTTCAAGCTCCACTAGCAAGTGACACGCTTTACCAAAAACCAACTGGTATGGTGAGGTGCCAATGGGAGTCTTAAATGTTGTTCGATATGCCCACAATGAATCATCTAGCTTCTTTGACCAGTCGGTTCTATTTGCATTAACAGTTTTTGCTAGAATGTTTTTGATCTCCCGGTTGGAAACTTCAAATTGACCGCTCAGCTGAGGATGATAAAGGATGGCCACCTTGTGCTTAACGCCATATTTTTTTAGGAACCCGTCAAAAGCTTTGTTGCAAAAGTGAGAACCACCATCACTAAGGATGGCCCTTGGGGTTCCAAATCGAGTAAATATGTTCTTCTTCAAGAAGGCAGTTACACTTCTTGCCTCATTGTTCGGCAAGGAAATTGCCTCGACCCATTTGGAGACATAATCTACTGCCACCAAGATATATGTCATTCTGTAAGAGCTTACGAAGGGACCCATGAAATATATCCCCCACACATCAAAGATCTCGACCTCCATCACGATGTTCATAGGCATCAAATGCCTTCTAGAAATTGACCCTTGTATTTGACATTGATCACATGCCTTGACCATTTGGTTTGCATCTTTGTAGATCGATGGCCAATAATGGCCATATTCAAGCACTTTTGCCGCATTACGATTTTCACCGTGATGGCCCCCAACTGAAGAGTCATGACATGTTTTGAGAATTTGAATTATCTCACCTTCCGGAACACAACACCGATTAATATTGTCGGCGCAAATCCGGAACAAAAAGGGTTCCTCCCAATAGTATTGCCTACATTCCCACAAGAACTCTTTCTTTTGATAAACTTCCAATCAGCCGGGGGTAAGGTCACTAACCAAGAAGTTAGCGATGTCGGCATACCAAGGATTGAAGGTGTTGGACAATACCAATATGTGTTCATCTGGGAAGGCATCATTAATTTCAATATCTTCTTTTGGTCTCCCTGCCTTTTTAAGCCTATATAAGTGATCCGCAACCTGATTCTCTGTTCCTTTCCGATCTTTGACTTCAAAGTCAAACTCTTGTAACAAAAGAACCCACCTAATCAATCTTGGTTTAGCATCATTATTCGCCATAAGGTAGCGGAGAGCAGCTTGGTCGGTGTAGACTATCACTTTGGAGTCCAACAAATAGGCCTAGAATTTTTCAAAAGCATAGACAATAGCAAATAGTTCTTGCTCTATCATAGTGTAATTCATTTGTGCGCCATTGAGTGTCTTGCTTGCGTACTAGACAGGATGAAGAATCTTATTATGCTGTTGACCAAGTACCGCTCCAATAGCTACACCACTGGTGTCATACATGAGTTCAAATGGAAGAGACCAATCGGGTGTGACAATAATAGGTGTCGTGGTGAGCCTTGCTTTCAATTCCTCAAAAGCTTTGAGGCACTTCTCATCGAACTCAAACTTTGCATCCTTTTCAAGGAGCTTGCACATGTAACTTAAAATTTTTGAGAAGTCTTTGATAAATCGCCTATAAAAACTGGCATGCCCCAAAAAGCTCTGAATGCCTTTTACCGAAGTGGGAGGAGGAAGCTTGGAAATGATCTCGATCTTTGCCCGATCAACCTATATGCCTTGCTTGGAAATATTTTGGCCCGGAACCATACCCACGTCCACCATGAAGTGATATTGTTCCCAATTGAGCACAAGGTTTGTTTCCTCATATCTTTTGAGCACTTGCCTAAGGTTGTCAAGGTAATTCTCAAAGGAATCACCTACTACAGCAAAGTCATCCATGAATACCTCTAAGAAGTCCTCCACCATGTCCGAGAAGATTTATATCATGCATCGGTTAAAGGTATCCGGGGCATTGCATAGCCCAATTAGCATCCGGCTAAAGGCAAAGGTCCCATACGGACATGTGAATATTGTCTTCTCTTGATCCTCTAAGGTGATGTTGATTTGGTTGTAGCCGGAATAAGCATTCAAGAAGCAATAAAATGACCTTCCCGCTAGCCGATCAAGCATTTGATCAATAAAATGCATAGGAAATGATCTTTGCAAGTAGCACTATTAAGCTTCCGGTAGTCCATGCAAACTCTCCACCCGGTTACCATCCTCATTGGGATTAGTTCATTTTTGTCATTTTGAATCACGGTCATGCCTCCTTTCTTTGGCACACATTGCACCGGACTCACCCAAGGACTATGGGAAATAGGGTATATAACCCCGGCATCCAACCATTTTATGATTTCTTTCTTCACCACCTCTTGCATGGAAGGGTTTAACCTTCTTTGATGCTCCATGCTATGTTTGCTCTCTTGCTCCAATTGTATCTTGTGCTCACAAATTCCGGCGAGAATCCCTTGGATATACACTATAGTCCACCCAATGGCATGTCTGTGCTCCCTCAAGGTATTCAATAGGTGTTCAACCTGCACATCATTCAACAAAGAAGAAACAATTCCAGGTAGAGTTTTATTAGAGCCAAGTAACTTATACCTTAAGTGCGGTGGAAGTGGCTTGAGCTCAAGTTTTGGCAACTCGATAATTGAAGGCTTAGCGGGAGGGGTGACTTTATTCTCTAGATCAAGAGAAAGCTTCTTTGGTGCATAAGTGTAGGACCTAATCCCTTCCAATACATTCATCGATTCCATGTATCCCTCCATGTCTTCACCATCAAAATTTACCAAAATAGCTGCCAATGCCTCACCAAGACATTCCTCTTCCATCTTCACCTTGACTGAATCCTCTACCTCATCAACAACATCAATTACTAAGATACTTTCATATGTATATGGCAATTCCATACCCTCACTCGCTTGAAAAGTAACTTCTTCGTCATTAACTCAGAACTTGATCTCATTTAGTTCCGAGTCCATGAGTGCCATCCCGATAGCAAGGAATGACCTCCCCAAGATGATAGGGATCTCTTTATCAACAACACAATCGAGGATAACAAAGTCGGCATGGAGGAGAAACTTCCCCACTTTCACAAAAACATCATCAACAATTCCCACCGGTCGCTTTATTAAACGATCGGCCATTTGCAACCTCATGCTTGTAGGCCTAGGCATACCTAATACCACTTTCTTGTAAATAGCAATGGGCATTAATTTGATGCTATCCCCATTATCACAAAGGGCTCGTGCGAAATCGCGCAATTCAATAGTGCATGGAATGGTAAAGGCTCTCGGTTCCTCATTCTTTTGGACGGCGGTTGTTGCAATGATGGAACTAAACCCGATGAGTCACATTCACCACTTCATTCTTGGTGGTTCTCTTTTTAGTGATCAAGTCCTTTAAGTACTTAGCAAAACCCGGCATCTCTTGAAATGCTTCCACAAATGGAATGTTCACCGATAATTGCTTGAGAATGTCATAAAACTTCTCGAGTTTGCTATTATCAACCTTCCTAGCAAGTCTTTGAGGGAAAGGGGGAGGAGTCCTAGGAATTGGTTCTAGAGTTTTTGGTGCCTCTATTACCTTTTCCTTAACCTCTTCATGGTTCACTTCTTGAATTTTCACCTTCTTCGGGAGTCTTTCAACTTCAACAGCAATTGGCACCTCAACTTGTGCCTCGACTTCTTGTTCAGAATCTTCCACTTCGATTACTTGTTCATTCTCTCCTTGAAGTATTTTCCCACTTCGAGTTGTGATGGCCATACAATGAGAAGTTGGACCACTCTCGGTTTGCAATTGTGTCACTTGGGAGCATGCCTTTCTGCTTCGAATTTTGCTCTCTTGAGAGATCTCTCATTTGCATCTCTAACATTTGAATAGATGCGGTGTGAGAACCCACAAGCTCGGTCATATTATTCATTGAAGTGCCAGATCTCTATTGATTTTGCAATACTCATTCAAGCATGTTTTCCAACTTGGACTCACTTGAAGAACTTTCCTTCCAATGCGGAGAGTTAGAATATTGCCCCTTTGGTGGAATATAGGGGTTTGAACTTCGATTTGAAAAATTTTTGTTGTTGTTGCTCCAATTTCCTTGATTTGAACTACCTTGGTCGTTTCGCCATTATTGGTTGCCTTGCCCTTGCGGGTTAGACCTCCATTGGTTTTGTTGTCCTAAACCTTGGTAGGTTGTCTTTGATATCCTCCTTGAGAGTTGTTGACATAATTTTCTTCTTCGTAATCCTCATTTGACATGGGTTGCACATCTTCCACAACATTCACCTTTTTAGTTTGGTTTTTAGTGAACATTTTCATCAACACATTGATGTTGGTGGCAAGCCCGACAATTACTTGATCTCTTTCTTGGTTATCCTTAATCATGTTGGTCAAGGAAGGCGTACCATATGCAATTCCACCCGTGGTGTCCTCCGAGTGCCAAGCTTGGTTATGTTCTGCCATCTTGTTAGGGATTTGTGTGTCCCTTGCAAATGTTTTATCCATAAAGGATCTATCGGCTGCATTTTTGGCTATGGATTGATTCATAGTATCCAAGCCCATGTAAAACTTCTCCAACAAGATATTATCCGAAAAACCATGATTCGGCAACCTCACTAAATATAGCTTGAATCGATCCCATGCTTCATCTAGATACTCTCCCGGTAATTGCTTGAAGAATAAAAAAAATTTCCCGAAGCTCGGACTTCTTGCTTTGTGGAAACCATTTTGCTAGGAAAGCTCGGACAAGTTTGGGCCAAGTATGGATGGAATTAGGTGGTAGATTTTGGATCCATTGCCTTGCCTCTCCAGTTAGAGAGTACTTGAACACCCTCAACCTTAGGCCATCATCTGAGACATGATTCTGTTGTGCATCGCACACACACCCAAAATATTTCTGAGATGTTGTGTCGGATCATCATCTGTGGAATTTCGAAAAAACCCCCTCTGCCTTGAGCATTAGGATTAGACAGTGTTCCACTTTGAAGGTGGCAACATCAACTCTTGGAGGGACAATGGCATTTGTATCCTCAATATACTTATCTATATCCGCAAAAATATTATATTCTTCCGGCTCACCCATGTTTACCTAGTGACACCAAGAAAAGCAAGCAAAGTGTGATGGAATAGAATAAGACGTAAAGTAAAGAACGGAATAATTAGTAATTTCAAAACTGTATTCCCCGGCAACGGCGCCAAAATTTGATACGCTCAAATTACACCTAAATAAATGGTATAAGGTGGTCAATGTCAAATATAATAACCCAACTAGGTTGGGGTCGAATCCCACAAGGAATAGGTGTAAGAAGATTACTTGAGTAATGTGAAACTTGACTTAAATTGTAATCCTACTCCGTTAGTTTAAAACGAGAGTATTGTGATTGTGAATTATCAGGAAAACTATTTTGTTACGAGTATGTAATTAATTCAATTAAAGAAACCAAGGTTGTGTCCCCATCAATGGAATGGAATGCTATCGCTGTTAATATGATATATTTCTAATGAAAAGTCCTTTTATATGCAAATGGTTCCTAAATGACTACCCAATATTTTCTGATGGTTAGGTAGTATTTTCTCTTTATGATTTTCCCAAATATAAAAGAGTTATAATTAAGAACAACCAATATATGCCAAATAGAACCCACTTATTTCTAAGCGATTCTATTAAACAAGGTTTAAAGCCTTGAGTTTTTGCTATTTAATTCTACCAAACCCTAACCCGCTTTTTCAAGTAAAGATAGAGTAAACTGGCATTAGTCAATGTTTGCAACCATCAACAATAAATGAAGTGTGAGAAATGAATAGATACTAACCAACCATTAGATATATATTCAATGGTAAACACCCATTAATATTACACCCATTTAGAGTCCACAACCTTAATATTTAAAACTAGCTACTCATACTAGAATTCAAGAACAAAGCAATAAATAAAGTCATAAAGCTTACAAAGATGACAAGATTCTATCTTCAAAAGATTCCAAAATAATGGTGTATTCAATGCTCTAAGTGTAGCCTCTTTTTTCAGACGACCCTCCACAAAAGCCATAGTTATTCTCATTATAATGGGCTAAAAGTCAGGGTGAAAAATTGACAAAAATAACCCTGCAGATCAAGTCTGCGACCGCAGAATGGGTCGCCTAATGCTTTCGCGGTCCGCATATCTTCAATTCCTTCGCAGAGTTGATTACCCAGTTCTCCAGTTTTCCATCGCACTTCTGTTATGCGGTCCACATATTGATTTCATGCCCGCATATTGTACTGCAAAGTCACTTTCACATAAATGCTTTTTGCATTTGTGCGATCATTATGCAATCCGCACAAGAGTTGTGCGACCACACAATGGATCATAGAATATACTCTCAGAACTAGGATGGGCAGCTTCAATCTGCGATTGGTATGCGGCCCGTACATCACTTTTGTGATTGCAAACCTGCCGCATTTCTGCTCTTCTATGGGTTTTTGTCATCTTTTCCATGTTCTTGGCTCTTCAAGTCTGGTTTTCTGCAAAACACCAAAACTACATAAGAAATGACTTATAATGCTTTAAAAAATGAGCTAAAGTCTAAGTAATTAGTATCAAAAGTGCCGCAATTCTACGGCACATCAACTACCTTGACCACAGCTCTAGTTCTAGTTTTACCTTTAGCTTTAGGCTCTTATAGAATGTATTGTGATGGTTCTCATATTGGTATTGGGTGTGTCTAAATGAAGGAGGGTAGAGTGATTGCTTATGCTTCGCGCCAGTTGAAACCACATGAAAAGAACTACCCTGTTCATGATTTAGAATTGGCAGCCATTGTTCTTGCATTGAAGATTTGGAGACACTATCTCTATGGTGTGTCTTGTGAGGTATTTATAGATCATCAGAGCCTTCAGCACTTATTCAAATAGAAGGATCTAAATTTGAGGCAGCGGAGATGGTTGGAGCTGCTAAAGGACTATGATATTACCATTTTGTATCATCCCGGAAAGACCAATGTGGTGGACGATGCCTTGAGTAGAAAGGCAGTGAGTATGGGTAGCCTTGCATCCATTCCTGTTGGTGAGAGGCCTCTTGTAGTTGATGTTCAGGCCTTGGCCAATCAGTTTGTGAGATTAGATATTTCGGAGCCCAGTCGGGTTCTAGCTCGTGTGATTTCTTGGTCCTCCTTATATGACCGCATCAGAGAGCGCCAGTATGATGATCCCCATTTGCCTGTCTTGAAGGACATAGTTTAGCACGATAATGCCAAAGATGTTACTATTGGAGATGATGGGATGTTGAGGATGCAGGGTCAGATTTGCGTGCCAAATATAAATAGGTTGCGTGAGATAATTCTTGTAGAGGCCCACAGTTCGCGGTATTCCATTCACCCGGGTGCTGCTAAGATGTATCAGGACTTAAGACAGCACTATTGGTGGAGAAAAATAAAGAAAAATATAGTTGGGTTTGTAGCCCGGTGTTTAAATTGTCAGCAGGTAAAGTACGAGCATCAGAGACCGGGCAGATTGCTTCAGAGACTTGAAATTCCAGAATGGAAATGGGAGCGTATTTCCATGGACTTCGTAGTTGGACTCCCATGTACTTTAAGGAAGTTTGATGTTATTTTGGTGATTGTGGATCGACTGACCAAGTCCGCGCATTTTATTCAAGTTGGTACTACTTATTATTCAGAGCGGTTAGATAGGATTTATATCCGCGAGATTGTTTGCCTATACGGTATACCAGTGTCCATCATTTCAAATCGGGGAACGCAGTTTACATCATAGTTTTGGAGAGCAGTACAGCGATAATTAGGCACACAGGTCCAGTTGAGTACATCATTTCACCCTCAGACGGACGGACAGTCCAAGCGCACTATTCAGATATTGGAAGATTTGATATGTGCTTGTGTTATAGATTTTGGGGGTTCTTGGGATCAGTTTCTGCCACTTACAGAGTTTGCCTACAATAACAACTACCAATCGAGCATTCAGATGGCTCCGTATGAGGATTGAAAGCCCATAGCTAAATTAGGCTTGAAATGGAGAAAATAGGAAATTTAAGTTGGAAGTTTGATCGGGGAGTTGACTTTTTGATATCAGGGTCGGATCCAGTTCTGAAAATTTTCATAGGTCAGTTATGTCAATTATGACTTGTGTGCAAAATTTGATGTCAATCGGACTTGATTTGATAGGTTTCGACATCAAATGTAGAAGTTGGAATTTCTTAGTTTCATTAAGCTTGAATTGGGGTATGATTCGTGTTGTTAGCATTGTTTGATGTGATTTGAGGCCTCGACTAAGTTCGTATGATGTTTTAGGACTTGTTGGTATATATGGTTGAGGTTCCGGGGGCCTCGAGTGAATCTCGGATGGTTAACGGATGAGAATTTGGACTTGGAAGATGGCTGAAGTTACAGATTTTTGGTGTCTGGTTTCCTTCTTCGCATTCACGATGGGAGTTCCGCATTCGTGAAGAGTAGCGTGTTGATAAGTGGGGATTTTGACTGCTTATTAGCGCCTTTTAGCTTTTGTTTTAGACTAAAAGCATTTAATTGTATTCCTGAAACTGATGAAATGTGCAAATATTGCAGGAATGTTGGAAGTTGGACACCCAAGATGAAATCCGACTCAACAAGGAGTAATCAAAACACAAGGCAACAAAAGGCACAAGATCTTGTAGAGTGCGGACCGCAAAATTCCATCTGCGGCCGCAAACAATGAAGAAAATCCCAACAGAAGTCCTAGTAAACTGCGGACCGCGCAGGAATTGTGCGGCCGCAAATGAAGCATTGGAGATGAAC